GACCGGACGCCGAGGGGCGTCGTCCGATCGGTATGACCGGGCGTCCGGTCGAGCGTGTTTTGCTTGATGAAGGGGTACAACGGCTCTATTCTTCGGGGCTCTTTTTATAGCCCCATGGGCGGCTCAAGGGAGCTCTCTTGCACATTTTCATTGACATAACAACCTTGTGAGCTTAGCCAAAGTTCTCCCACTCATCTCCATCATTGATCCATCATCATTGTGAGATTGGGAGAGAATCCAAGTGCATTGCTTGAGTGATTGCATCTAGTGGCACTTGGTATTCGTGTTCTTATGGATTTCGCTTGTTTCTCTTGGTGGTTGCCACCACCTAGACAGTTGGAGAGCAGCGGTGAAGGATCGGCACGAGTTGGTGATTGTTCATGGCGCCGCCGGTGATTGTGAGTGAGTTGTACCTTCTGATGAGGCGCCGAAAGGTAACTCTAGTAAATTGCTCGTGTCATTGAGTTACCTCACTTGTGGGTCGGTTCTTGCGGCGTCCAATTGTGTGGACGAGGTTTGTGAAACACCTCTTAGCCGCTGAACCACCAAGTGTTGGTCGACACAACGGGGACGTAGCGTGTTGGCAAGCACGTGAACCTCGGGAGAAAATCGATTGTCTCTCTTCTTTGTCATTCTCCCGGTGATTGGCTATATATTCATCTTGTGATTGGTTCATTCCCTACACGTCGGTATAATCACTCTACTCACTCATTTATATTCTTGCAAACTAGTTGATACAAGCTCTTTAGTGTAATTAGAATTGAGAGCTTGCTTTATTATTTACATTCATCTAGTTGAGCTCTTTAGAGTAGCAAGGTTTGAGAGCTCTTAGTGAGTAATTACATAGCTAGTTTGTGTGCCTAAGTATTCATTGCAACTAGAATTGTTGGATAGGTGGCTTGCAACCCTTGTAGAGCTAGAGCAAGTTTGTATTACGCTATTTGTCATACTAATCAAATTGCTCTAGTTAATATGTAGATTTTTTAAATAGGCTATTCACCCCCCCTCTAACCATATTAGGACCTTTCACCTAGCCGCCGCCGAGAGATAAGGGGGAGGGAGGAGAGGCGGATGTGGACGGGAGAGAGAGCTAGGGTTGGAGCCGGTATATATTCGGCATGGAAGGAGACAGCAGCGCCGCCGATCACTCGAACGGACCAAAACATTTTTGCTACTGTGGACATGCTGGCCTCGCGAGCTGGCCACAACGAATTTACACTTTAAATGGCTGGCCTACTGTCCTATGATAGGTATGAGATAGTGCTCCAGTTTTCTGAAATCCTAGGAATGCGCAGCTGTTGGTTCATTTACAAATCCTAGCAGTGCACAGATGTTTAGTTATTGACTTATTGTCCATTATATAGGACAGTAGACTTTGGTTCGATGGCAACGATTTCTATTTATTACCAATGTGATTAATCCCATGTGATGCTAAAGGCTATGCCATGCTCTCAACTCATACCGCTCTGAATTGGTTAGAGTTTAACCAAATTTAGTATCAAATTTACATTACCAAAGTTGCACCAGTGCTGATGCCCTGTTCGCTTGAACTACTTCAGCAGTATTTTTTAGCGAACGAACAGTGTTTTTCTCTCACAACAAATCAGCATGAGCATCAGCATAATAGATGATTCTTGTCTATGCTTTGGTTGGTGCACACAGTGCCTGCTTGTTGCTGGCTTGCTGCAGAGTGCAGACCATTACTGCAGAGCAGGAGAGAGATCAGTGCTGGCAGGAGACCACATGTGAAGAGGCCATGTGGACAGTGGGCAGATGCATTGTGATTTGGCTCAAAATAGATCTCTGACAATAGAAAACCAATTCCTAGAATCATAGGTCATTCTTCTTTTTAAGTATAAATTGAAAACGAATGAATTTTACCCTATAGGCATTAATATTATATGGTGTAAATTGAAAACGAGTGAATTTTTTTGATAATGTAAATTTAAAACGAGTGAAACCAATTTCTAGAGGCATTAATATTATACTGAATTCTTATTTTAAGATAGGACATTGAGTACGATCAATATTAGTACCAATTGTTGTTCTGTATATTTTTTTGGTTAAGGTGCATTTATGTACATTGTTCATTAATTCTTCAGGACACATTTAGTTCACCTTCAGTAAACAAGTAGCTAGGTCGCTGTTCTAACCACATGGATTAATAGAACATGTTTCTAGGCCTCGTGGAATCAATACCTGTGCACCGAACAATGTCTCACTATGCCTGCTGGACCGAGTGGAAAGTTTATATCGTGGGGTTTGGAGGCCAGAGGTTATATGGAGCATGACACAATCTATTAGTAAATTTTTGTTCTTATCAGAAGATGGTTGTGTCAACAGGCTGACACATTTGTAATAACCAATGATCAAATATAATAGATTGATTTAGATTTAGCATGTTTTTCAAATTGATAATGATAAGTTCTTTACCAAGTTTATTAGTAGAGTTTGTGAGCCTACGACGCCGTGCTCTCCATGATTGTATTAATTTCATGAACTTTGCCATTTAAATTAAAGGTCACTTTAGCGTCGATATTTAATTTCACAGTATTGTTATCATGCGATCGGTGTGTTTTTAGTATAAAAATTTAACTGTCTCGTAGTAACACACGGTCCACGAACCTAGTATTAATATAAAGTACTCCTGCTTGGTTGCGCTCCCATCCCGTCAATCTTCAATCTCCGTCGTCCACTGACCACTGCCGGAATATTTTTAGTGCCATTGTGTGATCGGACATTGTTTATGCGTTAGGAGCCGGGTTCGATCAGCAAGTTCGTCATTTGGCTCTCCAACAAGCGAGTAGACACCAAAAACCTGTCGGCGTCGTCTATCAAAGTTTAGGTCAAGCCCCTGTCGACCTTTCTTTCCAGGGGCAGCAGCTGCACTAGTGCAGATTAAAACTGGTTTTCGTTGGAAACGAGCCATATCGTTTTCTAACAAAGCATCATCATCCAGATGGTTTAGCTTCGATCGCACGGCTGCCGCTGCCCTGAGCTGAACTTCCACGCCTTCGCAAAAATAAGCTGCTGACACAACGCACCCACGCGCGCAAAAAAAAAAAAAAAAAAAAAAAAAGAAAAAAAAAAAAAAGAAAAAAAAAGAAGAAGGTTCAGATTTGGCCCGTGCCGCGTCGACCGGTTTCCCACTGCCGATCAACTTCCATACCCGTGCATGGTGCATGATCAAACGTGCTTTTTTCGATCAGTCTATGGTCGCGTTGTTTTGGTCACTCACATCATGCGATTTGCGAGGCTTGCCGTTGGTCACACAACAGGATAACACAGCAAGTGGGAAAAAGGAAGTGACAACGAAAGAATACGGGAGCTGCGAGAGCATACACCACACACTCTCCTTAATCTTGAGAGGGAGCATCATGCAACTTGGTGTGTGCACTGTTCAACTTGTTTGATGAAGCACCGGAAATTGCCCTGCTGGGGTTACCAAACTGCGCACGCCACTGCGGCACTGACATCCACTTGAGTCGTCTCTCGTCTCATCGGCAAGGCAACGGAGGCATAAACATTTGGAGGAAACAGACAAACCAGCAGGAAAAAGCGGCCAGACAGGAGTACGCGCGAGAGCAACCGGACGGATAGGCACGGGCGCGCGGCCACCGTTCTCAGCTCTCACCCGGCACACCACAGGCGCGAGGTGAGCAGAGAGGGCCGTGGTTGTCGCGCAGGCGGAGTCCGTTCTTATCCACTCCGGCGCGGGCCCAGCCGGGTCAGGCCACGCGGCGGAAGCTGTGCGGGCGATCTTCTTCATTCCACGTCGACACGGTCAAGGCCTTCTTTTATCCTCCTCCCCGTCGTCCCTGATCCCTCCCCGACCTCACCCGGCGCGACCATCCCCGGCCACTATTTTTATTACGGAAAATTGGTTGCGTAGCATCGCGATCTCCGTAAAATACCATCGAAAGTTTGGCGTTCCGGAAAATACAACTGAAATATCGAACCGATTCTGTTAAAATAAAGTCACGGGAGTGACGGAAGCCTCCGTCGCGTCCATACGCGATGTTTGTCGCGGATGCTCGTCGCGAACAGGAACGGCTCCTGCGGCACCCTACCACCACGTGCAACGTTCGCAAGTTGTGCTTGTGCACGTCCTTGCCAGATAGGATTATAGGAGCACGCGTCAGGACGTGGGCTCATAGAACCGCTGCACCAGCGCTAGCAGGTTCCAGCGGCCAGAAGCACGCGTCTTTATCGAGTTGAAGAAGCACATGTCCAGCAGTAGGTTTCGGCGGCTAGGATTAGCGCATCGCCTTTGCCACCGCCGGACCATGGCCCTGTCGACGACTTGGACGAGACTGACGAGGCGCCGAGGATGACGCAGTCGACGTGGACGAAGACGGAGTCGACGAGCAGCACGACCGCGTGGAAGCGGCGCGAGACGAGGGTGCAGCCGCCGAGCGCCTTGATGTTGCCGATGCGGTTGAGGACATCCCGCTGCAGGGGCCCTCCTCCTCCTCCATCCCACGCAGGTTACAGGCACACAGATCGGGATTGGGGAGAGGCGTCGGCGCGGGGTAGGACCAGGCGGGGCGAGAGCCGGGATGGCAAGGACGTGCGCATGCACGGACGCTGCGGCACGTGGTACCGGTGGTGCCGCAGGAGCCGTTCCTTTTCGCACGGCGAGCGTCAATGAGAACAACCCGTAAGAGCGTGACGGTGTGACGGAGGCTACTTTCAGTTTCATTACTTCTGTCGTTTTATTTTAACGGAATACTATTTTTAATTGACGGTTTAATGTTTTAGTTGTATTTTAGAAGGACGTAAACTTTCGACGGTATTTTATACGAAGGTCGTGGTCTTTACTCTTTAGATGCAACGTAGCCCAACTTTCCCTATTATCATCATCACACGTGACACCAACCCGCTGCCTCCTTTCCCCTTTCCATCGCCGATTCCTCGCCTCTTCTCGCCAGCTCTGATTCGCTTCGAATTCCCGATTTGCCGAACCCTAGCGACGCCGACGTCGTGGTGGCGCCACGCGCATGGAGATCTCCTTCGAGGCGTGGGAGGGCGTGCAGCGGCACGGCCAGGACCTCGCGGACCGCCTCGCGCAGGGCTTCACGGGCCTGCTCCAGGCGCCGCCGCAGTTCCCGTGGCCCCCCGCGCCGCACAAGCGGATGCCCTTCGACATCGACCTCCCCGTCGTCCCCTTCGGCGGCGCCGGCGGCGGGCCCCGCGCCCGCGGCGTCCCGGGGAAGGACTTCTTCCCCTTCCCCGCCGCCGCCGTCTCCTCGGTCATCGACATCGGCGGCAGGCTGGGCCAGGCCGGCGCCGAGCTCGGGGCGTCCGTAGGCGGGGCCGTGCAGCACGCCGTGAGCCATCTGCCCGTGCCGTTCCGGAACGGCCAGATCCGCCGGCGCAAACTGCCGCCGCCATCGCCGCCGCCGCCTCAGGCGCCCCTGCCCCCCGCGGCTTCGGTGGGCGAGGGGGCGGTAGGGCTCTCCGTCGAAAGGGCTGCTGTGGATAGGTGCCCCCTCGAGGCGGCGGCGGCGGCCGCCGCTGCGGTGACCGGGAGCGCTGCCGCATCGAGCGTCAGCGGTCATGTTGGCGGAGACGATTTGGACGAGGACGACGAGGGTTTCGGCTGCGATATTGGGACTCTTGGGAACTATAAGAAGGCTAACGTATGATTTAACTCGTGCTTGCTGTTTTATGGATTTTGGCATGTCGTGAAGTTTGCATCTCATATTAGGCGCACGATTGTAGTTTAGGGCTCCTGTCGTTACAGCACTTGAAATTGATGGTGTCCGGTCTAGCAACTGGTTACTTGTCTCTACCATCCGATTTATTGCAATCCTCTTCCTCTCAGTTAATCACATATCCAGCGGAAGGATCTGACATTTTAATTCACACATATTTAAGCCATGATGATGATCTTCTGAATTGTCCTTTTTGTGTCAAGAAAAACCCTTAACTGAACTCACGTACAGCCTAGAGATCATAGGCTCATTGCACTTTTACGGTGGTACACACATGGATGTTATGTCAAAAGTTGTTCATCAAGTACTTGAGCTAAAAAAACTAACCTTCAACATTTTGAATCAACAAAATATTTTTTATTGGACTTGTGGATTTTGTCTTACATTTCTAATTTCTTGTCATGGTACATTGACCCAGATGATGGCATGTTGCAACATAGTACTTATCTTCTCTCTTGATGATTATATAGGGCACTGTAAATATGTCGGCAACATACAATACCAGGACTCAGGACATCGAGAGTTCTGTTGTTGCACGTGGGGACCTCTGGAGGCTAGAGGCATCGCGTGGCGGATCAACTTCTGGAAATGATACTTCGCCCCTGTACCTTGTTCAGTTGGGGCCTCTACTATTTGTTCGAGACTCTACGCTTCTCTTGCCTGTTCATCTTTCAAAGCAACACCTGCTTTGGTATGGTTATGATCGCAAGGTACTCAACCTTTCTATTTCGTTATAAGCATGGATTTTGACAAACCTTGTTTTTTTTTGCACCACGGACGAACCAAATTTCATTACCCAAAAGCAATGAAATTACAAAAGTTTAATGATCCATAGTGTGATACTCCACCGCGTTAATCACCTGCCAGATTGAACTGAACACGCAGGGTTCAGCTAACAGGCAACCAAACACTTTTGTAATGGTTATCAAACATCTTGTAATGATTTATCAACTAGTTTGAATTACACTTGTATTTGGTACTTTATTTTGTTATATTTTATTATCATTAAATATAGCGCTCCTTTATATGGGCAATGTTATGGTCTTTATTGTTTATTAAAGATTAAACTATAGGCCAGGTCTACCTGGATGTGCAAATCTGTCTAGTCTATTGCAATGCATATGATGTACAAAGATGTTACTAGTAGGTTTGCTATGTATGAGCTTATGTGGGATTGTTGGTCATTTTTTCTATTGCGTATCTCTGACATAATATACTTCATATATTGTCTTCTTACTTTATAGTTAAAACAAGGCGTCTGTTTTTAAAGGCTTGAAAGTCACCCCCCCCCTCCCCTCTTTCCAAAATAATCATCATTCGCATACCCCAAAGCTAATCGAATAGCTATGGCGTTATCTTAAATTTAACCTACGACCCGCAGTCTACAATCACTGAACTACCTTCTATGATGTATAAATATGCATCTACGTCTTTCTGATCTGATATTTTCTCCTTTTACATTGCTAAACTTGATATTCCATTGCAGAATGGAGTCCATTCCCTCTGTCCAGCTATATGGTCAAAACATAGGAGATGGTTGATGATGTCAATGATGTGTCTCAATCCAATAGCTTGTGTAAGTCTCATTCGTCGTCCTCTTTAATGATGTGAGATCTATTCTATTAAGATATTAAGATTAAAATAACTGACTCAATGATCTTTCAGGAGAGCTTTTCGTTGTATTGCTTTGTATTGTAGTTATGTAATTAAAGGATACATTTTGTCATGGTTCCTCAATTGCAATTTTACCTTTTCCCTGGTAGTCTGAGAGATGAGCACGTTCATTTGGCTTTGAGTCTAACATACCATCGATCGGAATAATACTAAAAATTCATTAGTTTATCAGCTTCTTTTCTGTATTTGGCAATGAGTACAGTAGCCGACCTGTTTTCTGAAAATTGTGTTCATTTATAATGCCACAGCAATGCTTTCAAAAATATCAACAAGCATAGTCCCAGTGATTCCAGTTAAATTTGCTTGCTTGTCCTTGCATTTTCCTTGTGCATATGAAGCTGAGTATTAATAATATACTACCTTTATTGCAGTCGTTTATGGATCTGCAATTCCCTAATGGGCAACTGACATATGTTGCTGGTGAGGGGATATCAGCCAGTGGTTTTCTTCCGTTATTTGGTGGGTTGCTTCAAGCTCATGGAAAATATCCTGGAGAAACAAGAGTGAGCTTTTCTTGCAAGGTTAGTATTTTCAGTTTATGTTCCCTATATTAATCAGTTGTGTAAAATTTAGTTTGTGTACTCTTTAAGTAGTCTATATCGACATTATATTAGCCTGCCAGGTTGCAGGCCCTGGTATTTCTTAACAAATTGTGCTAGTACATAGTGAGTCATGAAAGAATGGTGATATGTATTAAATGTGTGACCAGTAATTGCTATATATTGTGGCTTGTCATCAATTTTTATGATGTTTTCTGTGTTCCAATAGCATATGAGTTCAATCTGACACTTGTTCCTCCTTCTTTTCTTTGAAGAATAAGCGTGGCACAAGGTTCGCTCCTATGTTTCAATGGCCCGACAAGTCTGTTTCATTAGGAGTTACACAACCCTTGGCATGGAAAAGATCTGGTCTTATGGTGAGACCCAGCATACAAGTCAGGTAGTTTTCTGAAAACATATGGACAACTCCGCAACATTTATGTTTTGCAGATATGTAGGTAGGTTTTGATTACAGAAACATCAAATTAGATGACAAGTATCTTACTGGATTGCGAAATAGTTATCTATAGTATAGGGACCTATAAACAGATTTCTTTTTAGTAACTTGCTTGAAAATGATTATTTCTTCTTGCTATCCTCATGTTGTGCTAAAAGCTGTGCTTGTTACATTATTAGAATTTAAAATGGCAATGCTTGACAAATAGTCAAATACTGTATGCTAGGTAACTGTTGGCAGATGTAGTTCATGAATAGTCTTGTTCTTTGTTGTTGTTTTGTTTGAATCCTTGTCTCTCTGTTGTAACACCCTTGTTCTCGGTGCTCTGTTGGCAGTGTGTGCCCTACGTTTGGAGGAAGTGATCCTGGGGTACGTGCAGAAGTTGTCCATTCATTGAAAGAGGAATTGAATCTGATGTGTGGCCTCTCTTGCTCACGGCATCCATCGGCTTATACTGCTCTCTCGGTAAGCTCTAGTTAACATTTCTGATTGATTCTTTCTATAGGATTATAGTTTGGATGTAACTTAATCTCTACATGGCAGATTGGACGATCAAAGTGGAATGGTCAAGTGGGTAGTTCTGGAGTGGTAATCACTTTGGAAACACCTCTTAATAACATTGGAAGGCCGTCCTTATCTGTTCAACTGAATGGTGGTTTTGAGTTGTGATCCTTCTGACTCCTGCACTGAAGCTGTACATACCAGTGTATATATTGCCATCACTAATGTTTGTGCTACTCAGCCGATCAACCTAGAAAAGTTTGTTGAAGTGGGCTGCAGGCTTGCAGGTCGTTTTTGTTACCGTAGTCTATAGGTCTCAAGTCTCAACTCAACAAATCAGCTGCTATAGTACCCATGCGGGCACAGAAGTCAACTGCTTTGTTCCCCACACAGACTCATCGCAATCCTTAAAGAGATTGTGATACTTGCAGCAGTTGAGCTCATATTTTTAGAAGTTCATGGAAGGGGAGAGCCACGGGCTCATGTTGCTATGGCGTGCCTCCCTGTGGGAGCCACGCGGTCATGCAAGATGTTCATCCAGAAGCTCATTCTTTTGGTGCAAGACTGATAATACCTGTCGCAAACTGTGCAATTGAACATTGTTAACAATTGTCTTGTGCGGACCTTATATTAACATAATATCTGGCCACTGTTTAGTTTGCATCGTTGGATGTTGAGACAAACTAGCTGGTGTGTTATTGGCTGCAATCTTGTATTCCCCTACATGTATTGGTCAATGAATGGAAGACTAGCGATCCCTGAAATATATACTTAATGCAAATCTGCTGTCGCTGGTGTCCATTCCGTGCTAGCATCAATTTGAACTTATGAGGAATTTGACTACCTTTGCGAAACGAAATTTGCCGATTTATTTTAACAAATCTGGTAACGGTGTCATCAGCATGTTCCTGTGTTTTTGAGAGGAATACGGGTAGTTTTCTGCGATCAGGTTTTAACTACTACTACGTAGTTCCAACGCTTGCATTTATGGATGTTATGAACCGGTTGAAATAATTTTGCGATTTGTAACCGAGTACCAGTTCAATATACATAAGCGCAAGGAAGCATGCATTTATGAAGAATGTTAAGAACTAGACGAAATGGATTTGTGATTTGTAACCGAGTATCAACCCAATATAAGTGCAAAGGAAGTGCCCTCGTTAAGCAGCAGGTGAAGCATCTGCGTCAATAAACACAAAGCTACTCTACACGCTCTTAGGCCTTGCGTTGCAATCCCAGTTCGGCCATGAAGATCGCTCTCACAGCTGTGCTACCACCACTGCTACTGCTGCTCATCTTCTCGCCGGCCGCCATGTCGTCCTCGGCTTTGGATCCATCCGGCCCCGACGGGCACGGCCCCGGCGTCTACATTGTCTTCGTCAGCCGCGCCGACTACGTTGATTCCGTGGACTACGACCTCCGCCTGCTCGCTTCCGTCGTCGGCAGGTCGCTGTGATCACGTCCATCCATGCCTGCACTAGCTATGCGCCTATGCCCGTACGTCCGGGGAGGCGGGGACCTCACCAGCACTGACCCATCCTTGGCTTTGTTGCAGCAAGGCAGAGGCGAAGGCTGCACTGCTCTACCACTACAGCAGCATCGGCTTCGCGGCGCGGCTAGCACCGGAGCACGCTCATCAACTGTCAAGTGAGTGCACCTGGTTAATCTAGATCAGAATTATTATGCCTCATGGGATTTTGTTACGTCCGAAGTTCCGAATGAGTTTCAAGGCGTGTTTAGTTCCAGTAAGTTGGAATTTTGGGTTACTGTAGCACGTTTGTTTTATTTGGCAATTAGTATTCAAACATTGGACTAATTAGGCTCAAAACGTTCGTCTCGCAATTTACACCAAACTGTGTAATTAATTTTTTTTTCATCTATATTTAATACTCCATACATAGGCCGCAAACATTCGATGTAACAGGTACTGTAGCACTTTTTGAGATTTTGGGTGGAACTGAACCCGCGCTCATAGAACGTTTCGGTTTAATGTGTTTCAGAGAAGGACGGCGTCGCGGTCATCAAGGACAAGACGTTCCGTATCCAGGAAGACGGTGGCTTGCCTGGCTTCTTCAAAGAGAATGTCTGAAAGATCAAATGTACCCCTTCTGCACGATGCTTAGACACGTTTGGACTTTGGATGCACACAACTGCGGCGATCTGAAACGTGTTATATGAGAACATACTCATTCCCTTCTCACGATCTGAAACATGTTCACTGAAGTTTGGAGTACACTTTTATGTCCTCTTTTGCAGATCTCCTGAATGATTAACCTAGCAAATCTCATGGAGTACACTTTTATGCTTACTTGAAACATGTTCACTGAAACATGTTCGCGCGGAGGTTGAAGATGACTGTAGGGGAGGTAGACTTCGCGATGGGCATCTGGTTGGGAGTTGGGGCGCCTATGGGCCAATGTATGGGGATACTAATTTTGAGCTTAAGTCAGCGTTAATCACGATGGTTCAAGTTAGTCCTTTTTTTTTGGAAAAGCGTACGAGGATGCAAATGCTCACCTCCAACATTTTTTTAAGATTTGTAGCATATTCACCGTTAAAGGAGTGATCCAAGAAGCTATTGGTGTATGTGCATTATAATCTGAAACTATGCATCCAACAGTTCAACACACAACTCCAAAATTTCCAAGGAAAAGACCCTGATCCATGTAGCATGAATATGGATTTTCATACCAAGCTCCCTACCCCATACAGCTTCGGTTTGAGATGCTGGATTCTTCTACGTGCCTATATATATATCACAAATTGGCAAACCACAAGCAACAACTCAAGAGGTTTTACTTTTCGACTGAAACAAACATAATTGTATTTTATAATAAAAACATTGCACAGTGTAATGCTTGCTAGCCCGCGCAACTGTGCGGGGTTCCTGCTAGTATAATGTATATCTAGATATATAGTAAAAATTATATGTATCTAGAAAACCTAAAATGTCTTATAGTTTGAAATGGAGTATTATTCAATGTGCTGATTTTTTTTTTTTTTGTTTATTTTGTTCAAGTTCAATTTTTGCATCCTAGTTACATCCATATAATTCGTTGATGACCAACGGCCTGTTCGCTTAGTTGTAAACGATCGTAAATTTCCAGCCGGAACAATGCTTTTCTCTCACACCAAACCAGCCAGCAGTAAATAATCCATGATCGTTTACGACCTCCTGAACAAGCTGCAAGCCTCAGCCGCTCAGGTGCTAGTATTTTAATTATTTATAATTTCAAGAGGACAGAGTCTTTCTGATTCTCTTCTAGACCAGGCAAATTATGACTTCGGAAACATTCACCATGTAGAACTCGGCTAGACCAGGCAAATTATAGGAAACATGTAGTATTTGATGGATATATGTTTCCTAATAATGGGATAAAATCACCCCCTCTCTATATATGAGAGGCCCATGATTGGTTGAGACATCCAAACAATAAAAAACGCAACCAATCTAATATTTTTATCTTTTGTTATGCCTTTTATTCCTTAATCCTACCTTTCCCAACCTTCTACAAGCATCTCAACTCCATTTAGGGTCTGTTCGCTTGGAGGAATCTGGAGGAATTTATGAGATGATGAACATTGATTTTCATCCGTGAACAGTGAATTCCGGCTGAAATTTGGACCAACCGAACAGCCCCTTAGGTGGCATTGCTGACTCTAGAATAACCCTAGATGCGCTTTCTCGATGGGCTTCTTCCCATGAGGCATTTTCAGGTTTTTGCCACGGTTGACCTGCAAAAGTTGGCGAGGCTGATTTTCCCTGCTACATTGTGAATTCGATTCTCGAGTGGTCTGTGTGATCCGGGTGTGGCCCTTTGAGTATGTGATCGATCTTTGCATCAATATATTTTTTTTACGACTCTGTTAAGGACAAAGATGTTTTGGTTTTGATGGCCGAAGTCAACTCTAACAATAAGTTGTCACTTGAAGAATTCATTGAAGAACTGGATCTAAGGAGTACATGCAAGAATTTAAACAAGCAACTACAAAGATTGTTTCTGTCCTGTTACAAGGCGTTGTTAAGGTAAAAGAGTGCACCAGGTAGATGCAATATTCAGGTACATTATCTAGTCATCTATCCAATCTCATCAGTATCATGCTTAATAAGATGATTAAGATCCAATTCCTAATATTCAAAATACGGCTATTGAAGAAAATAAACTAGTAAAACAATCGTCTATGCTAATATTAATAGAAAACTAGTTATTGTTTGACCTTGCAAAAATAGACCAGCTACTGATGTTGTTGGCCAACATTCGTCCATCTCAAGCCGAATCTAATGTAATCAGTAAAGAAAATCTAAAACCTTTTGAAAAAAACATAGATCCTACATCCAGTACTTTTACATTCGAGGGCAACAAAGAGAGGATTCGCCTAACCAATTAGATTCGAGTCGGTGTATTAAAGCAAAGCCAAATATATTAGATCAATAAAGCATGAGATTGGTGTTTGAAAAACTACTGAATCCAAAGTTCCTAACAAGCATCTCAAGCATACTACTGAGAAGCTTTTAGCTAAGTCTTAAAAATAAAAAGAATACCAAAGATGCTAGTCGGCCTATCAATTAATTCCAAACAAGTCAAATCATATCCTATGAAGCAACTTGGAGTCAGAATCGACAACGAAATTATTATCATGAATCAACGCCATGTTTTCAATATGTATCATATATGGCTAGCCATCTATGCCTTATTTTCAGCATGCCTTATTTTTCTCTACTATGTTATTCTTATAATCCCTGGATGGTATTCTTATAACCCATGGATGCTGCCTCTTCCTAGATATTTTTGTTTGGATTACGTTACTCACTCACTTACAGAGAACCGGGAATTCACAAGCCATCACCTACAAATAATGATCATTCTAATCAAACAAATCGGTCTGTGGAGAAAAGAAGCGCAAGGTGATTAGACAAGTCTATCGTGTCAAGAAGGATGAGAATTTGAAGAAAAAAAATTTGGCACAAGACAAACAAAAGCTAGTAATTCAAGAAATATCAGCTGGATTTATTGATCAAAGTGTCCCCAATGACAAGCATGTTTCAGAAAAACAAAGCTGCATAACAATCAAGTTCGGCTGGGGGCAAGACAGGAGCAAAACTGTACGTGCGATAGAAACTGGCCTAGCCGATCTCAAAATTAGCTTAGGCGATTTTTCTGGAAAAAAAATGAAGAGAGTTTCAAATTAAAGAGTAAGGTGAAGACGAAGCCATGTTTGGAGGAGCTTTTATCAAAATACCAGTAGATAGCCATGCAAAAGCAAAACAATCAGGCAAGGCAATATCAAAAGGAAGAATTCTTCATCGCCAAGAAAAGACATGCGTGAACATCACTGGCACTCACCTCATTTTCGTGCATCATATAAATCAATCCATGCGCCATGGACTATCTATTCAGGTGTATCTCTACGATAATTCATGGTTTTGATATAATCCCTAGTTGTCATATAATGAATATTGAGGTCCTCATTATCCTTAGGGCCATAATTTATATGATTGGTTGTTGTGGAGGAGAGAGTGAAGGTGTATCACCATAATGAATTGATGATATAGTTTTGATACAAAATCAAATAGTTTAGCATTAAACTCAATAGTTTGGTCCCACTTTTTTAGGCACAGTGGATGAGAATCAATTATCTCGATAGTGTTATATATATATAACTACTACCCTATAGTTGGCTACAAAATAACTTATTCTATACCCACTTTGAGTTACGATAATTACTATGTTAATTTATGAGATTATAGTAACTCCTTACTAAGTGATTTACTATAACGTTATGGTAAATATCCCCATGTGTTATAGTAACCCTATCGTAAATATGTATTGATATTATCGTATAAGGGGATGTGACTAGCTGTTTGACTTGTGCCTTTGGATGTTTGCTTATCAGCGTTATTTTTTAGCTATAGAACAGTGATTTTCCTTTCACAATAAATCAGCATCAGCAGCAGCAAGCAGCAAAAAAAAAAAAAAAAAAATCAGAGAATGTTAAGTTATTTGGGGGAAAAAGATTAATTCAAAAATAACAAGTATTGTGAAACGGTGAATAGCTTAATCTGAAGTCCAACTAACTCGTGGGCCCACGAAAGGAAAAATGAATAGATTGAATCTATGGAGCAAACCGATGGGAAATCTGGATCTTTTGAGCCTAGTTAGTCCATGATCGGACAAAGTTTATCAAATACAAACGAAACTGTGATAAAGATCTCAGAATAATTGGGAAATCTGGACAAGTACTGTGATCTAGAATAATTTAGCGTCAGACTCGGACCGGCTGGGAATTTGGGAAGGGAGGAAAAACTGTGGAACCAAAAGCAGTGAAGCACCACCCATCCGCTCACGCACGATTTTTTTTAAATTTTAACCCTTTTTTAATATAATTTTAAATCTTTCGGTTGTTTTTTAAAACTAACACTTTTGGCCGCGCCTATTGCCCTGGCGCGGCCAAATGCTCTGTCTTGCGCCATGCATGGTAGTGCATGTGGCGTGATGTGGTGACGTGGCGACGACGAGCGGCGGCACGACGGCAGGGGGCTGCGCGCCACCGATCTTGGCGGCGGGGCATGCGCTACGATCCATGGCGCGGTAGAGCCGAATATAGCCCCCGCCGTGGCCTTCCTCCTTCCGTGTGCCGAGCAGACGCGTGGCTTGCTGCACCCTGGCTGGCCGCCATGAGCTCGCCCGCGCCGATTCCGCGCCGCGCTTGACCCGCGCCGCCGGGGCGCCTTGAAGCACATGCCAAGCGCGTCCGTCGCGTCACCTGACCAGCCCACCGCCTCAAAGCCGCGGCACGCCCGCGCCACCACCTCCCGCCGAGGCCTACGCCCACACCTCCCGCCGACCGAGGCCTACGCCCACACCTCCCGCCCCGGTCTACGCCCACACCTCCCGCCCCGGTCTAGCGCGCTGTAGCGAGGTACTCTCCTAGTATAGTTCTTATAGTTAATAAAGTTAGTTAAATTATTAAAATGTAGTTAGTAAAGTTAGTTAGTTTAGTTAGTTTATGTAATATACTAAGTTAGTATAGGTAGTAAAGTTAGGTAGTTTAGTTAGTACGGTTATTAAGTCTAGTTATACATTGGAT